ACATCCATTTCTTTGTCACTGGGTGATCCCTGTGTCTTTGTTAGGGTCCTCTTTACTAGGTAGCCTCCTTGGAGTTGTCAGTTGCAGTCTGGTTGTCCTCTTTGCTTTATTTATATGCAGTATCTACTTTTGAATGAGTAGATACCATGTTTGTCTTTCTGAGTCTTGGTTACCTCTCTCAGAATGATATTTTCTAGTTCCATCCATTTGACTGCAAACCTCATGTCTTTGTTTTTCTCTGCTGAGTTGTACTCTATTGCATATATGTAACACATTTTCTTTATGCGTTTCATCAGTTTAAGAGCATCTATATTGTTTCCAGGTCCTGGCTGTTATAAATAATGCTGCTATGAACATAGTTGAGCATGTGTCCTTGTGGTATGATTGAGCACTCCTTGCATATATGCCCAAGCATGGTATAGCTGAGTCTTGAGGGAGGATGATTCCCAATTTTCTAAGAAAGCATTCTTATATTAAGTTCACCCAGAATGATTTTTATTCTTTTTGAAATCCTTGCACCTTCCTTCACAATGCTCCCTGAGCCTTGTGTGTGTTGATTGGAACAAGCCAGGCATGTTTGCATGTTTCTTTAATTTTGTCACCATGAAAGGACAAAGTGCAGAGAGTTTTATTGAAATGACCCACAATTCATAATTTTTATACAATATGGATGACAGGTTCTTAAAAAGGAAGACATGCCATCTCTCCAAAAAGTCATGTACTTAAGAATGATATTGAAGCTGATTTTATTGGCACAGGCATGATTAATACACAAATGAATGCTCTCTCCCTCACTGACACACACCCACACATGTCCACACTCACAAAACATCTGTGAACATAAAAGTAAAAAATATGTATGATGTAAAACAATATGCTTGTCACATTGGCTGATCTAACTGGGACACAGATACCAATGTACAGCTGGATTTCATATTTAATTAATTACTTGATGCATCCCCCATCAGAAGTAAGTCTTTCTTTCTTGTCCGCAAAACCAAGGACAGAAGTTAATGATAGAATATTCATGTCGCTGCTTCTCAGTTTTCATCTCCTTAAGAAAGTCTCAGTCACTCAGTGGTTACAGAGAGAATAGAAATTAAAACACATTTCATGTCTGTCTCTTAGTGTATCACACTCAAGAAAAAAAAGAAAGAATAAAAAGTGTGGTTATTTTCAAGGGTTTTATTGATTTTCCTTTTTTTCTTTTTATTGTTTCTTTTTTTTTTCTTTTTCTTTTTTTGTTCAGAGCATCCTGTTTGGCTGGCAGTCCAGGATGTAGGTTGACATGGTTATGTTTTTTCCAATGTCACATTCCTCAGGGAAGGTTAGGATGACATGGACTGTTAGCAACAGTGTGATGAAACATATTATATTACTTTGAAAGATGAGATGAGACTCTACTCTGAGGTGCTCTGCCATGTCATAGAGAATTAAGATCAAATTCCTCTTTTTAAATTGCTGATTTATGTCATGATGTGGAGAGAAAGGGAATTCTTAGACTCAAAGCAACAGCTTACTATAGTTATTTGTATAACTCGACCAAATATTGAATATTTGAATAGGAGAAATTCTACCCTGATGGAGAAGATTGTCTACAGAAGCAAATTTTTTAAGCAATTATATATATATATGTATTTTTTTTATATTGTATATTTTAATTTATAATACCTATAATAAAATATTCAATATTAACTAGTAGTGCAAATATATTTAAGTAGTAGAGCAATTATATATAACAATAAATATATATTGTTGCTATATATTCAATGGAGATCAATTTTCCATATGATGATATAAACGTGATCACAGCTGCATATTAGAGAACTTCTTATGCTCATTAAAGAGACACACATCACTGATCCCATCACTTCCTGTATGATGCTTCTGTGGTTACCAAATTATCACAGTGTTTAACATAAAATAATATAAATAAACAATATAAATAAATAAAATATTTTACATGTATAATAATATGTAATAAATAAAATAATATACATTCATAACATAATAAATAATATAAATAAAATATACATTCATAATAATGTATAGAATAAATGAAATAGGATATATTTATAATATATAATATAAATGAATAAAATATTAAAATTTATAATAACATATAATAAAAATGTAAATAAATAAAATTATATGTATTTTATATTTATGTCATATAAGCTTACTGCATTGGTCTTTAGGTGTTTTCCAGCACATTTAAGATAAGTCTATCTCACATTTCTTGCAGGCGTGTATAGGAGTTTCATGCATTCATTTTCACATATCTGCCCCAAACACACTTCTGGGCAAGTGTGTTTGTAAAAAAAATAAGACAATGGCTGGCTAGTCACATATTTTAAATATTCTGTTGAAATTTTTTGTAGTTGTCTAGCTTTGTAATGTGGTTTCTTGGCTTAGAATCATTTAATGGACTAATTATAACTTGGTGTTGTGAACATGAAGATGAGATGGAAAATTGAACACACAGATTTGAAAGAGTCCTATTAATCAGAAGTGTTTAAGTCACAGCCATATCCTCTGACATTCACACCTTATATTTATTCAAGAGAATATATCAAGAAAATGCATGCTCCAAGAAATATTAGCATTGTCATGACGCTGCTACACATGAATATTTTCACCAATCTGTGTCCCCGAATGTCCTGTCATGTGTTTCATATGTTTCTCTTATGTAGCATTTGAAAACATACTTGGGCCTGTAATTTATCATCATGGATAGCTCCTAACAGCCCCCTTAGAGATGGGGGTGAGAAGACACAGCATCAGGCACACAGACACTGAGAGTTTGTTGAAGGCAAACAGCAGAATCATTTATTCAGTAACAGGGAAGGCCTTATATGCTCTCCTCCCAGCACCCAGGCTGTGTCCTGATCTGCTGACATTGTGAGGTCATCCCTCATTGGCTGGGCATGATCAGGAACTCTGATAGTGCCTGTTACTAGGTGCCCAGGCAGACTCTGCACGATCAGGAACTGTGACATTGACTAGGAAATCTGATGGAGACTGTTGCTAGGTCCACAGGCAGACTCAAGGTTGGCTCTAAAGGAGTAAGAAGTAAGTAGCCATGCCTTGGCTACTGGTTTGAGCCAATTTCCTCAACCCTGTGGGCCTTTAGATTGTGAATTGTTAAATCTAGTCTGTGTAGCGTATGCAACACTTAAGCAGATGTGTTTGTCATATTTAAAGATTCATTACTCATGATGTTTCTTCCCTTTTCCTAGAAATGAAGTGATTGCAGGACCTCCATCAATTTTATTTCTCTGTTTACATGTCATACATGATAAATAGAAGAGACTATACAACTCTATTAACTTTCAAATACATATGGATGTTTTCTTAATGATTTCAGGTATAGTTTTTGTTTTACTGATGTTTTACTGCTTCTTCCTTTTTTGTGTTATTGTAACAGTTTTCCCATAATATACTTGTTTATTTTCTCTTGATTGAATATTTTTATTAAATGGTTATTTTGTTTATTATATTAAATTCTGACAAAGATTTTTATTTTACTTTAACACACCAAATCAGTAGCTTCATTGAGGACAGGTGTCTGTGAAGAATAAGATATACAAAGTTAAAATGTCATTCATTTACTCAATAATTTTTACTTCAGTTTTTCAGGAATGGAAATGGAAATCAAGAAATTTCATTATTTTCTCTTATTTCAGAACAATGTTCTAGTTGCAAAACACAATTATTTACCATTTTTGAGGTTATCTCATATATTTTCTCTTGTGATTCCAAATGAAACAGTGGTTCTCACATAGATGTCCCATAGTTCTTAATGAGGTTGGTTTCTTTTGCTACATAAAACATAAGAAGTAAAAAGAGATAACCATTAGAAGTATGACTGTTTCTGAATTTTGGATCCCCCAAATTTATTGTCTAGACCTATATAATTTCATTG